CTCAGCTATGACTCACCAAACCTAATCACAATCATAAGAATGACTCAGCTATGACTCACTAAACCTAATCACAATTAATTCTAATTAATTACAATTAATCCAACCTAATAGGAAATAAAAAACAATCAATCCTAATTAATCTTAATTATTCCTAATAAATAAAAACGGAAAAATATTTGAATTTGAATTCTGATTTTCTACAGAAACCCATCAACAACTTGTTCATAATCTGAACCATTGTTGCTTGAAAGCGCTCCAAAATTTCCTCCTCCTGTTCATCACCACTTTTTATCGGGACACAGTTTATCTCCCTTAATTATGATCCATTCTTTTCTCCTTGAGTGGTCTCGGTCTCCTCCAGCATGCCTAATAAATTTCCAGTCCCCTCTTTCTCCTCTCTATCCATGATTTTCGGCTTCTTCTCTCCTTCCATGCCATTTGACTTCTCCAACACCAATTCAGTTTGCATTTTGGGTTCCGATTTTAGGGAGTCCGATTCTGCATCATCATCCACCAAACTAATCTCAAGTAGGTATTTCTGTATAAACCTTAGTAAAGTTCGACCAGCTTGCCTTAGGATTGAGCCAACACCAACATTTATACCATGTGAGCATAGGTCCTCTAAGTCCCCTGTCAGCCTCTATCAACTTCTCATGCTCATGGGTTCTCTTTGCCTTGAAATATTGCTCCAAATAGATTAGTCATCCCCAAGCATCATCTCCTCCTTTATAAAATTTTGGAATCATCATTTTCTTTAACTGATGCCACAGCTCCGAGATCGGAACTGTGATACTAATTGATAGGGACAGGCTCCATTAAACCATAAATAAGAAGACAAATGAGATATGTATGGTATGGATTAACTAATTTAAAACAAAATAGAGGTATTCAAGCCATGGTTTAGTATGGATATCTGTATAAAGAAAAAGAAATGCTGAAAGAAAAGATACTCTAGGGGAATTACAATGCTCCTAGTCACTCCCAAACACAAGAGGTGTCCCAAATGCCCAATAACCCCAAACAGTCCCCCTTCTCACTGAAACTCTCCTCGTATAGATGAAGTTTCCCTCCACTACTAACTCTAGTCCCCACACTTTCCCCATTTGCCGAGCCAGCAATTGGTTGCACATGATGCAGCCTCATATGATCCAATGTTCCCCATGTAGCACTGCCTACAATACACCTTATATTAGGGTGTGTTCTTATCAATTTCCAACCATGTATGTCTTTTCTATATATTAAACAAAAGAATATTTTTCTCTCATCGATAATGCATGACATGCTAGAGCACAAAGGAACTTATGAATGCAATCCCAGGCTCCAAGCATTTTCAAGCCTTGCAGACTATTGCAAACCAAAGGTACTGTCATGATAAAATTCAAACCCCATGAAGAACAACAATCAGTTCATCCAACTAAGGTGTATTCATAATTGTCAGTAGCAATTAGCAGCCGACCCCGAAAATGGTATAGCGGTGTAGCATGTAGCGGTATTGCAGCTACGGTGAAGTATTAATTCCACATATATTATACTAACAATCAAGAAACAAGGCAATACCACTTTTAGTATTAATGCTCAAACATAAGAAATCACACAAAATCAAACACATAATTCCACAATCAATGTCAAATACAAGGAACATAGAGGAAGGATCCAAAACTAAACACAAATCAACAATAAAATTGTCAAATAGTCAAGTACAAGAAGTGAACTAAGGAAGAAAATCATCATCATCTCCGGATTCTCCATCAAATTCCAACATGGGAGTGGTGTAGCGGTGTCGCGGGTAGCAGTATTGCCGCTACGCTACGCCGCTACCTTCCGCTAGGGCCAATGTCGCGTAGCGTCGCGGTTTCTAGCTGCCGACCTCCGCTACCCGCTACAATAGCGGTTTAGCGGCGCTACGGGCCGCTATTGACAACCTAGGGTGTATTCACTTAGACTGTGTCAATAATGTTTTCTTCATAATTAAAATAAAAAGATCAAATTATGGCCTGATATTTGGGACTTCACTGCCTGGCTTGAGAACTATGGCATGGTCGCGACTATGCTTACGAAGAACACTCGAAGGAGTTGCAAAGACATCCTCATATCCCCTCGGCAACCTTTCTAGCTCCTCCTTACTAATATAATTTTCTAGACTCAAAGGAGGCTTCCCCATGGAATGCAAGAAAAACCTTCCCCATCATCCCTGATTGCCTTCACGACAGACTTGAACGATGCTTCAGTTCGAGAAAGCTCTGGTTCTACTTGTATGAGAACTCTTGTCCCTTCTGCTTAAAGCTCAGTATGAGCTCAAGAAAATTCTCTTTAATGTTGCCTAACCCTTGTAGCCGGTCTAGGCCAAGCACAACATCCGCTACTCCAAGACCAAAGAGGAAGGAATCCTGAACCACGACAACCCCTTGAATCGGAATTTTAACACCATGGCACACACCACTACAATTCATGCTATCCTCATTTCAAACTTCAACTTGGTAATTCGGGTGGGTTCTATTTTCAACTGAAGTCGTCTCGCCTTTTCAACCTTGAGGAAATTATGCAATGCGCCACTATCTATCAACACGACGACACACCTTTCCCAAAACTCGCATAGTTCTGCTTGTCAACAACCCCAATAGGCTCTAGGAAGGGAGCTGCAATGTCACCTCCTCGCCATTGTTGTCTACTGCTTTAATCCCGTTAATTTGCATGTCTCCCACTCCAATATCTTCTTCCACCACAAGTAAGTTCAATTGCTTTGCTCGGCAACAGTGGCTTGGGTCCCACCGTTCCTCGGAGTTGAAGCATAGCGCCTTGTGGGACCAATCCTACAATTCTTCCTAGGACAGGCCTCTACTTCTAACTTAGTTACAGCTAATAGCATTTCTGTTTGGCACTAAGTAGAAATGGATGAATTAGGGTTAGAACGAGCAATGGGTTATGTTCTCGATGCTTCATGCAAAGAGAGATTGACCTTAGGGTTATTCAATGTCAACCTAGTTTGCGAGTTAGATGTACCCGAATTAGTTTTCCCTGAACCCACCAGATTGCTTTGACCCGTTTATGAACAAGTTCCAAAAACTTGGCCTCCCTTTGTTTCCCCACCCACACACGAAGGCCAACCACCTCCCAGTCCTTCATTGGCCCAATCATAATTGTGCTCTGAATACACTGGGTGTTCTTCATCATCACTAGCAACGAGTCTAAGGGTTGCATCAGGTGCTCCTCTCTGATGCAAGTTGACAAACCACTCAACTAGATTTGCACGGAGAACTTCATCATCCACGTAATCAAGACTCCCACTGATCCTCTCAAAATTGAGGCGATAATCCTTATACTCCCTTTATGATGCAAAATTAAAGGCTCGTGAAGAGGATTTCCTTCTAATTCCAGTTGAAACCTGCTCAAAAATTCCTAGCGAAAGGCCTCCCAAGTGGCATGGACTGTAATCTGTACCCACCATTGAGAGCCTGTTTGACACATCTTTTTTTGAGCTAAAAGCTACTTTTAAGCTAAAGTTAAAAAAAAAAAAAAGAACTTAAAAAATAAAGCTAAAAGCTATTTGGTGATTACATAAAGTTGTTCTGTGTGTTTTGAAGAAGGGAAGATGAAATAATTTGTTATTAGGACGGATTATTAGGGTAAAGAGTAAAATTGGTAAATACAAATTTAGAATAAGGGTGAAACTGGAAAATAGATATGAGAACTCCAAAAAACTAGTATATATCTTAAAAAAAAGCTCCTTTTGGGTTGTTAAGAGAGTGCAATTCCCTGAAGTGTTTCCTATGGTACACCTTAGGAGGAGGGTTTGTATCAATATCCTTTGCCAATTCTTATTTTCTTGCTATGAAAAATAGTAGTAAGAATATGATACTCCAGTACTTACTTAGGGCTTAGGGAACCAGTGACATGTCTAGGATCCCGAAGGATAGGTTGGTCCACCCATAGGACTGCCTCTTGTCATGGGTCATAAATTTTATTATAGTTGACATAGTCCTGGTAGGAATTGAAAAAATAATGAAGCATGGTTTGGACCAAACCAAACTAAGGCTGATAGTTCAGTTTTGCTAGTAACATAACTTCACAATGGTGTGATTTGTTCTCCGAAATTTGAGGACTATGAAGACTGGTTTGGTTCAAGTTTGAAAAGAATACCCTACTTTCATGCTACCAATAATGACTCAAGGTTCCTTGCATACAATTGACAGTACACACTAGTAATTTGCTTCCCAAATTTATCCTAAAAGAAGATTCCGTATGACTCTGCCAGATAAATTTTTACTCTGGTCCATTTTACACCTTGCTGGAATTGCAATCCCCATTTTAGCATAGGCTGTGGTTGTATTGAGAAAAGCAACGATGCTTCAGTTCATGAAGATTGCAGCCTCAAAACATGATCAACTAAATATTTGAGACTGGGAGTACAAACTATATCAACTATGCAAGAAAAAACAGGAAATAGTCTCTATTAATAATTTAATAATAACCGAACTTTTATATTTCTTAATTGGCTCTAATTAGTTTATCCAAATGCTATCCTACGATCCCCATCACTTTCAGAATCTTAGAGAGAGCTGTAACTAGATCTAGCTTACACTGGATATCATATTCAGCTTGATATGCAATATTATCTCACATTTGGCTACATGGATCAAAATTCAAATGATGTCATTGGGCCCTATTGAAAACCAAATTTTCAATAAATCCATTTTGAGCAAGGTTTTTTTTTTTCAATGATTTCTCCTCGAGTTTTCTTCAGTCTTCCTCTGCCTCATTCAATTGGATTATCTTCCATTTAATCCATTTTTCTAGTGGAGCCTTTGTTGGTCTTCTCCTCACACGTGGGATTCCAATTTTATCCCGAAAACGTTCGTTCTTGATCTCATCTTTCTTTCTATTTTTATGTCCAGTACCGTACACTTACTTTTCAGACTTGTTGGCACTCTAATCAAATAAAATGCAAAACCGGAAGTATGCACAGACTAGCTCAGCTACATTCCAAGAAAAGCCATACATACCAGTAAACAAGCGGTATGCACTAGGGAGTTCCCTCTTCTGAGTAGCATAAAACATTTCAGTCCCTTCTGAAAGATACAGGCCAGGATCAACAATAATGGGTTTCAACTTCCTCAACCTACAGCATCAAAAGATATTGAAAATAAGTATCATCTCTGTACTCTATACAACACTAAACACCTTATTACTGTAATTCATTATGCAAAACATTAATGACTACAAAAAACACACACACACACAACAAGAACATTAACTTACTCTTTCCATCCAATATAGCTTGAATGATTAACAAAGTTCAAATCTTTAGGCAGAAACGACAATATGTGGAGAAGATCTGACACACCCACAAAAGATTCAACATCAATAACACCAATACATGATGATAACATATTCATATGTACATATTTAGGAGGTAAAAAAATTGCAACAAAAAAAATCACCATACCGTACCATCTTGGGTAACAAGTGGGTAAGCATCAGCACCGAGGCTAACAAACCAATCCCATTTGAGGGACAACCTAAGCAATATTGATGCAGCATGAAGGGTCAAGGAAACAGGTGAAGACCCTTTAGGGTAAGCAAAATCGGGTTTTCCCATAACATGAACATTCTGTGCAGCTTTGAAAATGGGGTTTGTTTGGACAGTGAGTGCCAATTGCTCACGATCTGCCTGAGGAGCAGAAGGGTCGAGGTGGAGGAGGTACTGGTTAAGAGGGTGGTAAGAGGCGTAGAGTAACCGGAGGATCCGACCCGAATCTCCATGGGACCCGGAAATGAGGTATGCAATGGAGGGAGGGGAAGGGGTGGCTTTGTTGTTGTCGTAGATGATGCGATGTGTTTGATGGGTCGGGTAGAGAAATGGGTCGGGTCCAGAATGTGTAAGGGAAGATGATGATGATGATGAAGAAGAGAAGGAGAGAAAGAAGATGAAGGTGATGGAGAGAAGAGAGATGGCTAGGAAGGTATAAAGGAGGATAGTGGGTTTTGGTTTTGGGTCTCTAAGATTGAAAATTGTTGTGAATTTGGAGGGAACTGAAAGTGAAGGCCACTGATGTGGTGGTGGTGATGGTGATGAAGCTGCTGCTGAACCTGGATTTTGCATTTTCTTTTTTAGGGTGCAGAGGGTGGTTGATGCTCTTCAGCTCTGCTTTGAAGTTTCTACTTTCTTCTCCTGAGGTTTCATTGCCTTTGCTTCTGCATCTGGTGTCTTTGCATTGTTGTGTCTCTTCCTGTCCTTTTCTTCATCTCTCTTTTTTTTTTTTTTAACATATTCTTCATCTCTTTTAAGTTACGTATGGGAGAAGAATTATTGAAGAGAATAATGATGAGGTGAGTTTATTTCAAAACTTGGATAGGTAGCTTACCTAGCACCAGCAGTCTCCTATATCATTAAATCAAAATTTTAAGAAGAGAAAGAAATTATAAAGATTAATTGAGATTTTGATTTAATAGCGAGGGAGAATAATAAATAAGATAGACACAAAAAATATAGATAAAATAATATATTACTTTAATATTTTATAAAAGATATGTAAGAATAAATATTTACGCAAGTTTCAATATTTTTATTTTGTTAAAAATGTTAAACATAAGCCTTACAAACAAATTGTTTAAATTTTTATTATTGGATTTAATATTTTTGTTTTTCTGCAAAAAAAAAAATTCTGTCACGTTCACAAAAAAATGAGTAGGTCCATTATATCATTAACTTTTTCTCTCTCTTTTCATTATAACGAGAGTCATTCACTTTTATGTGAATGTGTCAGAAAAAGATTTTCTGCATCAAAACTAGAAATATTTTTTTCTTTTTATTATTATCCATATATATATATATATATATGATAAAATCTGCAATCGTTTTACGTACAACAATGACATATGTATAGTTATGATTTTCTACATTTAATGCTTTCATCTTTTGTATGGTTATAATTCTCCACATTTAATATTTTCACGTATATATATGACAAGTATTTGACTGCTGCACGTATAACTGCTGCAGAAATGTAAACTCATATATATGTGTGTGGGGGTCAGGATCATTTTACACTGGTGTAAGTTGTACTATCAATCAGTGTTATTAAACCCGGCCTGGGCATCGAACCGGTCGGGGTACTGGGTCACTGGTCGGACCGGTTGACCCTGATATATATATATATATATATATATATATATATATAATGAGCATTTAATAATGGACAGACCGGATTGTATCTTGGCTTAAGAAAGAACGATGCTGATCTATTCACTTGAATTAGGAGAATAGAAAACCCGTGTGATGCTTTTTGGTTGGCCAAAACTCTCTGCTTTTCATATGACTGTTTCTTCTCTCCTTTTTTTTGTACTCTTTCTCTCTCAAATCCCACAACCAGGAGCGCTTTTCACTCATTGTTTCTATGGAAGGCTGAATCTGGAGTGTACCCATTTGGCAATCACTTGATCTACATGAGAAAACCTCAGATTTTTATGCATTTGGGGGATGAAACCCTTACAAGGAAAGCAATATGAGGCAAAGTTTGGAACTTTTTGTAAGGTCCTAATGTCCTATAATGGTGCTAAGGATATGAGCTCGCTAAGGAAACACTTTTTCTCAGTCGATTCTCATCTCCTCTTCTCCCACACTCTACAAACTCCACAACCCCAATGGTGCCGAAACGGTCCCAATTTGTGGACTGCCGACGACCATGACTGAAGACCCCTCCCCCCTAGGCGGCAAAGCTTCTAGTGAGCTTGTCTGTTTCCTTTCAGGGAGGCCTTTTCACTGCCTTTTCTTTTTGGTCACCGGAACCCGGGAAAAAATCGGGCGGGTCAATGGGATCTGAAAAAAACCGGACGGGTCGTGCGGGTCTTCACGGGCTGAATGCATGTCCGGTCTGAATGGTGACCCCAACCGGTCGCCCTACCGGGTCACCGGAACCCGGGTCAGTCCGGGTTTAATAATACTGTTATCAATCCTTATTGTTGATCTTGTTTATATCTAATGGTTCTAATTTATTAGATATTTGAGCTGTTAAATACAAGTAAATCAATGTTCAAATTTAATGTAACATTTATTATTCTTACACTGGTGTAATATCCTATATATATATATATATATTGATCTGAATTAATTTAAATAATGTTAAACTGGAAAATTTTCCATGCCTTATGTTTTGAATAAGTGTCTTGGGTCTAATTTAGAACTCAATTCATCATCCCATGCTATGACAAAAAAAAATTCCCCTCCCTCCCTTATATAATGTATTCCACAATGGTGTTTACAGAGGATATTCACAATCGTAAATGGCTCACATCCAAGTGATCGATTTCCCTGTAGATCTTCTTGACAGTCTATATAGGATGCCATCTTACATGGAGGTGCGTCAATGCCTGTTTAATATGGGAAGCTACAAGGGCCTAGCATTGGATGGGTTTCCAGCAGTTTTCTTCTAAAGAAACTGGGATCTCCTACGAGACCAAATTATGAGGCTACTAGTTAATGTATGGAAAAATCCAAAGCATATCCGACATTTGAATTCCATACTCCTGCTGTTAATTCCTAAAGTCCAGGCCCTCATCTTAATGTCACAATTTCGACCAATATCTCTATGCTCTATCATGTACAAGCTGATCTCTAAAATCATTATCAAAAGGCTGCAACTCGCTGCAACTCATTATAGAAAAGGTAATTTCTCCATACTAGGCTAGTTTTATTCCTAATAGACAGATTCATAACAACATAGTCATTGCACAAGAGCTGGTACATATTATGCATAGAATGAGAGGGAGAAAGTTTATGGTTATTGTAAGAACCTGCACCGTTAATTAAGGAATTTAATTAATTAATTATGCAAAAATAGGAAATGATTCCATAATTGACCCTAATAATTACTATAAGGCTTATATAAATATAGTAAGTGGTTAATTATACTGATAGTCGCTTTTCGGAAGAAAAGTACAGATACCGGTTCTGCTAGTCGGTAGGGGTGTAAATGGGCTGGGCTGGGCTGAGCTTTGGCCATCTTGGCCCAAGCCTACGTAAAAAAAAAATTCAGCCTATCTGGCCTATTAGAGGCTTTATTTGTAGGCCAAGCTCGGCCCATTTTCAAAAATAAGAAAGTCTGACATGGCCTAGAGGCCTTGTACACCTCCCACTATATATATTAAGCAAAAAAAATAATTGTATAGAGCAAAGAAAGTTCCATTCATGCATGCACTAGTACTTCTCATAAGAAAAAAAATGACAAACAAGAAAGAGTCAACATAATATCTCAGCTCTAGAATGTATATCATAGAGGAATAGAGTCAAAGAAATGGAAAAAATAAGAAAAATACAATTACTGGATGCTGAAATAAAGTCTACAAGAAAATGTCATTCATCTAAAAATCTTTAAACCACCATCAAGATAAGGAAAATAAGAGTATTATTGAAAGATCTTCATCAGTAACATCATAATCCAGCAAGGTACCCATTGTTCCATGGTATTAAGCTGCAACAACATGTAAAATTTGGAGACATTAGACAAGTTTTCCTTTCATAAAATAAAATAGCACAAAAAGTAAGAGATATTAATATTTGGTACTTTGTGTCTTTGTCACATAAAATAAATATTATTTTATTATTTTAATAAATTAAATAGGCCAACCTACAAGGCTGTAGGCCGGGCTTGACAAAATTGGTCTATGGCCTATTTATTAAAAAAGCTTTTTTAATGTTATCAAAAAAAAAAAAACTTTTTTATAAGCCTAAGCCTACTCTACTTTTCTGAAAGGCCGAGCCGTAGGCTGGGCTGGGCCAGCCTGGCCCATTTACACCCCTACTAGTCGGTATAAATGCGTACCGAGAAAGTATCCCAGAAAATTATAATAAGTGCATGATAATTACTAAAATAATATATAGGACTTGTAAAACGGGTTTCAAGTCCAAATAATGAGAATTGGTGCCAGAAACTGATACTGGCTAAGAAAAGCGCGTACCGGAAAGTTGCTCCGAAAAATAAAAGAAAAATATGATAAATCTCGTAAAATTGAGTAGGTTCAGAATCCTAAATTTGAGATTAAAATATTAAGCGTAGCTATTAGCGCTAATACTGTGCGATTAATGTTAAGTGGGCTATAAATAGGCTTGGGCACAATGCCCTAGGTCATAAACCTTCAGCCTCTACGTGAGTTTTCTGATTCTTCATTAGCCTTGTGCCTCCTCTTGCCACCTTCACCTTCCCTTCCCTCTTGTGATCCAAAGGTGCTACATTTCTCCTTGCTCTCTCTACTAAAACACTTGTGTGAGTGAGAGCTTGCCTTGGGAGTGTGTTGGTGAGCTTATTTCTGAGTTGTTGGTCTTTGGTTTGAGGACTTTGGGGGCTGTATCTTCTGAGTTGGGGTTGGTGTGGCCTTGTTCTTGGCTTCTTAAGCTTCAAGAAGCCACCTTTTGGCATAAAGTGTCAAGCTTGATGAACAGATTCGTAGTCTTGTTGTGGCTGAACTTTGGTGCTGTGTAGAGGACCTCCTTATTGTCCCATTTTCGGAGTTGTGAGCCTTTGAGGTATACTATGATCACATCTTCGTCATTTTGGAGTTTAAAGCTTGTTTAATCTATTAAAAGGAGGAACTTTAACCTTTTGAGTAAAAGAATGTGTTTTTGGGTTCATAACATGTTGGTGGTTATCTGTTTAGGGAGTCATTGGACTCCCAATCGCATTTGGACCCTTGAAATTGAGATTATGCAGCTGTCTGTTCGAAATTCTACATTCTGGTGAAGAAGTATTCGAATACTTTTCGTATGGTATTCGAATACTTGTTCATTAGTAATCGAATACTCCTTGCAGGAGTATTGGAATACTTTTCTGGGAAGAAAAGTATTCGGATACCTTTGAAGAAGTATTCGAATACTGGAAAGTATTCGAATACAGTGAGGTTCGGTATTCGAATACTGTGGTATTCGGATACTGGGGGAAAAAGTATTCAAATACTTTGTAGTATTCGAATACTTAAGAGAAAGTAATCGAATACTTTCTGGAGAGCTGGAGTATTCGAATACTACTCGTGGAGTATTCGATACCTCCTGCAGAAACAGCATGTAATGAGTTAAAATGAGTAAGAAAGACTTAATCACTTAGTGTAATCTGTGCTATGATTATTGATGATTAATTATGGTATGGGCAGATTATGATTGTGCTGATTGTGGGCCTTGAGATAGTGTGGACTCTTGGCTTGGATAGCTAGCTTGCAAGGTAAGCTTTCGTGTCCTCGGTTTAGCCA